GTGCGTGTGAGGGTGAGGGTGGATGTAAACACAAAATCAATGAGAGATCCCAAAGTATTCGGCAAGTCGCCATGAGCAACTAAGACAATTAGGCCATGACCATGTTGGCGTGACGATGCGTTGCGGCGGGAATGTCAAGATGCTGTCATGTGCCTGGGGTCACACCCGCATCCAAAGAGCTCCACTCATTGAAGCTAAGCTGCCGGTGGAACGTTTGCCCGCGACCACGACAACGGAAAACACCCGCAACAATCTGGTGTATTCACATACCATGTCCGCCAGCTACTTTGAGGGTCGTTCGACGCCCACTACACAGGATGTCTTTTCTCCAGCCTCGCCGTCAATAGGGACCGCATCGCGGGGTGTCAATGCACTCTCCAGCAGAATCACCAGCGTACTATCAGCATCTTATGCCGACCTCGAAATCCGCGATGCCTTGGAAACGCTTGACTCCCGAGGAATACAAAATACCGCCGAGACTAGACGACAGATCCGTTTGGATGTTCAAAAAGAGGTAATCGAGTGCAATGGCGAGATTGTTAAGGACTTCGGTCAAGTGGCGGAGGTGCGTAAACAGCTGATCCGACACGTGTACGTACACTGAAGCGTACCAGCAATTGAAACGAATAGGCACAGCTATCACCAGCTTGAACAAATATTGTGCCGACATGCGGAGTCACATAGCAGCTGCGAGCCGAGAAACTGGGCCCGTTTTGGAGGAGGCGACAAGTCTCATGGGCCAAAAGAAGCAAGTTGAGACCAAACATCAGATTTTGGCCGCATTCAAGTCACACTTCATCATATCGGATGATGGATCCACAATTTTGACATCTACTGCCGAGCCTGTCAATGAAGAGTTCTTCCAAACGCTCACAAGAGTCAAGAAGATCCACCATGATTGTCAGGTGCTATTGGGCACAGAAGATCAACGTCTAGGCTTGGAAGTGCTCGAGCAGAGCTCCAAGCAACTAAATGCTGCCTTCCAGAAGTTGTACCGCTGGATTCAACGAGAGTTCAAGACCCTAGATCTTGAGAATCCGCAGATAAATGCATCTGTGAGGAGATCGCTGCGTGTCTTGGCTGAGCGCCCTGCCTTGTTCCAGAGCTGCCTTGACTTCTTCGCCGAGGCGCGCGAAAACATACTCTCGGATTCATTTTACGCCGCCTTAACCGGATCAACTTCAGATACACAGAACCTGGCAACGAAACCTATCGAATTCCAAGCGCACGATCCCCTGCGCTATATTGGAGATATGTTAGCGTGGGCACACTCAGCCACAGTATCTGAAAGAGAAGCACTAGAGGTCCTGTTCATCTCAGATGGTGACGAAATTAAACGTTCTATCCAAGCTGGCCTAGAAAGTGACCCGTGGTTGCGGCGCGCTGATGGAGACGAAATAGTGTTTGATGGGAAGAAGGCCCTCAACCAGCTCGTCAGTCGAGATCTGACAGGCGTTGCTCGATTGCTCCGCCAACGGACCGAACAAGTGATTCAGAGCCACGAGGATGCAACATTGGCATACAAGATCGCCAACCTGATCGGTTTTTATAAGAATACATTTTCCAAGCTTCTTGGTGCCGACTCGGAAGTACTAGAACTGTTTGGTACACTAGAAGGCTCAGCGATGAGGCAGTTCCGGGGCAACATGAGAGATCATGTTGCCTCGGTGCAAAGCGAGTTGGCTGTCGCATCACCAGACTTGTCACCTCCAGATTTTCTCGAAGAAGCTCTTCAGATGCTGAAAGTTCTAGCAAAGAGCTACGATACATCTATTACTACCATCGACGACCAAGAAAATGGTTTCCAACCAGTGCTTGCCGAAACATTAGACCCATTCCTAAATGGATGCGAGAATCTGTTCAAAAGACTACCTGCACCCGACAGCGATATCTTCGCTATCAATTGCCTCATGTCAGCTAAAGTGGTGTTGTCACCATATTCGTTTGCAAGTGCTCGAGCCAGCGAAATAGACGACACAATCGGCGAGCACGCGGCGAACTTGATGCAATATCAGCATGAGTATTTCACTTACCACTCTGGTCTGAACGTACTTCTCGAAGCACTATCAACTATTACAGACACCACCGAGAGCCTCAAGACTATCCCAGAGCTCGAAGCGTTCAAGCCGGAGGCTCTCGTAGGTGCAAGTCAGCAGTTGGATGAGTTCCTTCCATCGGCTCTCATCGATGCAGCAGAGAACCTGAAGCGATTGCGGAACAGAAACATGATACAGGAAATCACCGAGGAAGCAGCTGGCCGCTTTTGTGAAGACTTTGAGTTCGTCGAGAGCAAGATCCTCGCCGCAGATGATTTGCTCTACAATGATGATGATTCTGAAGATGAAGAGCCGGCGCCAGGTCTCAGAGATATGTTCCCGCGTACCAGCGGAGAGATTAGAGTGCTGCTGAGCTAGTAGAGAATACGATCTTAATGACCAATAAGATACACTTGAAAGGCTTCCCTCCTTCTCCTATATGTTTCCCCGCTTCGTGATCTATCATTGATCGCATGCTCCTTATGATGATACTTCGTTGATGTTGTGATTCGTAAGCTGTCTCAAGTCTGGGATTTCTTCTTCTCCCATTCCTCGGGTGTATGGCATTTTGGCGTCCATGCGTGTATTGCTGCGATTTCTTCCTTGAGTGTGGTATTTACCAGTCGATGTCTGGCCAGTGTCGTCTTCTTTGCGAATTGCGGCGACACGATGATAGCCTCGTACATTTGTCCACATCCGCCTAATTACCACGTTAGCAAGGTTCCTTCAACCAACTACTACATGTTGCCATGTCGGGAGCAGAGAGGGCAAGAGGGTCAACCCTGTTGTGCAAATCACTCTGTATCTTCCAGCCGGATCTCTGCAAAAATGATCACTGTTCACTTCTTTGGAGACGGTAGCTTGGGACAATACAATCAATTCCAAGACCACAACAGCCTCACTTCCCTCCATAAAAGCCGAGGATGACTTACCACTCAAATCTTCAATCTCCACATGCGTAGCCCCGAGCCCATCAACGAGCTTCAACTTGAGCCCCTCAATCGTAACGCCTGAACTCGCCCCGCCCTCAGGATTCAGATTGTCGCTCATGACCGTATCAGTGTTATCGGGATCAACGGCAAGCTTGTCGAGAGATTTGTACAATTGGTGTCGTGGGTCCATGGCGGGCGCTCGCCGAAAGCGGTCTTATTGGAAATCAGATCTTCGGATCTGATAAGATGCGCTCGGAGATGGATGACGTGATGGGCTAGAATAGGTACTGGTGTGAGGCTGGTGGCGGGGTCTGGTGTGGCGCACGGAGCTGTAGCGGGGTGTGGACAAAGCCGATTTTAGAATAGAAGCCTTGGAGGAGAAGTTTGAAGAAGAAATACCTGCTTATATTTGCATGTTTGCACACACTTTGAGACGATTGCACATCATGAGTGCCACTACAACAATAGCGCCATTCTCCAATGCCGTCGTTCGGGCTATGCGGAGACTGTAAGCTCTTCGAAAACTCCTTCCGCAAGCTCACTCATGCTCACAGGTCTCCAGCTATCCGCAAGCTCTCGCCGACTCTTCTTGGGACAACACTGGTCTACTTCTTGAAGCTCCCTTTGTGCCATCCCGTCGTCTTTCCAACACCGTCCTCCTCACCATTGATTTGACAAAAGCCGTTGCCGACGAAGCAATCGCACAACAATCCTCGATCATAGTCGCATACCATCCGATCATCTTTCGGGGATTGAAGTCACTCACACTCGCGAATTCGCAACAACAAACATTGCTCAGACTTGCCAGTCATGGAATTAGCGTGTACAGCCCACATACGGCTGTCGATGCTGCACCAGGTGGTTTAGGCGACTGGCTTGCGGATATAGTGACTGGAACTAAGACCAACAGCGTGGTTGCAGATATAGACATGGAGACATCGTCAGGGGGAGAGAATGCGAGCGATGACGATAATCCATTCGTTGAGAAGAAGCAGACATTGGACTCACCAGGCTTCACGCTACATAATCACCCCAGTCAAGCCAGCCTCCGGCTCACAAAGTCGCCATCTCCAATCTCAAGCCCGATACCTCACACACGCCGCCCAGTCGTACCACAGTCCCCGGAGATTGCGACGCATCCTGGGGCAGGAATGGGACGAGTTGTTACATTCAACGAACCGCAATCGTTGCCTTCGCTTCTTGACAGAATAGGAAAGGGCATGCACAACCCAAAAGGCTTTCCCATCGCGATACCACAGAACACATCAATAAAAGACCTAAGCATCAAGAGCATTGGTATCTGTGCCGGATCAGGTGGCTCTCTATTGGGAAATCTAGACGTAGACCTGTTGTTCACAGGCGAAATGAGCCATCACGAGGCGCTTGCAGCAATTGAGAAGGGACAGGTGGTCATCAGTCTGTTTCATTCTAATTCAGAACGGGGTTTCTTGAGCGAGGTATTAAGGGAACAACTGGAAGTGACAGTGGATGAGGAATGGGTCAAGCTTAGGAAGGAGGAGAGTGGGAATGAGACCTTCAAAGAAGCATTAGAGGATGACGAATTCGAGGTCATTGTTAGTGAAGTGGATAGGGATCCGTATGGAATCGTAGTCTTGAAGGCGGATTAGGAGGATGTAGAGGAGAGATGCACACATCCATGATACCAAAAAGTGATTGGTTTTGCAGCCAGTGAGTGGAGGATATGTGTCTAGAATATGACAATAATTGGTCGATGGATTTTGCAAGGTACCTACACTATCCTATATTGCTCCGTTGCATGTGTTCGATATTATCGTGGAGTGTCCCATTATGCACAACGGTAAGCCGGCATCGGCTGCAGTGAGTCTTACCCACATACGACCCATAAATGTAACCCCAATTTCCCCACACCTCACCGGCATCTTTCAGCCTTCAATGCCGCCAATGTTAACTTGTTTCGCTTTCTACCAAATTTTGTTGTACTTTATAGACCTGTTAGCTTTTGGAAAACAACAAATTCAGCAACCAAAGCCACTTGACTTACAGTCAAACATCCTCCGTGGCGCAATTGGCTAGCGCGTCCGACTGTTAACTTAATAGCAATATTTGACTTGCGATCGGGAGGTTCGTGGTTCGAGCCCACGCGGGGGAGTTACTTGCTTTCTTTTTGCATTTCTTTTGGGCTTGGGCGGGTGCGTGGGTTTGTATGCGCGAGGGTTGGACTTCAATTCTTACCACTAGTCTTGAAGGACCGTTGTTCTTGAGAACAAAATTATCGTTTGTTTTGCCTCGTAGGTTAACGGATGCAATCGCACTTTTTTGTTGTAATGTGAACCTATTGGCACGTCTCCACCCACGTACGGCGCTATGGCGTATTTAGGGATTCCAATAACAGGCGAAATGAGTTAAATGAACTGAACGCTGCCTTCCTGAGTCTAACAAGATGCATGTCCGAGATGCATGATCTTTTGTCTCTATTACCACTTTAGGAAACTGTGTGAATAGGCCAAGTCAATAATACTGATACATCTGCATGAGAAAATATCAGTCAGATACTCTCATTATTACGATCCTTTTGAGCAAACTTCAACATCCGGAGGACAAGCGACAATGGACTCGCGTTGTGTAGCCGTTTCGGCTATGACACCACAATATAAACAAAGCCTTACAAACGCCTTGAAGATGCTCAGACTAGTTGGTTAAAGTGCAAATTCTAATTGTTAGTTGAATGGAGAAGAAATGCAGCCGTTGGAGGAGCCTCAAAGACCGAGCTAATCACAATGGACCTAGCGTCTCGGTTACACGCCAAGATTCGCGATCGCACATTTCGACTTTGCGATCACTAAACTTCAGTCTCCAATCCCCATCAACCCACGACGACTCTCCACGACACTTCCGGAGCTCAACAATCCCCCAGGACTTAATTCTACGAACATTCCTGAGAGCAAAGATGGCACCCAAGAAGGCTAAGAAGACCGCTGACTCCATCAACTCGCGCCTGGCGCTTGTGATGAAGTAAGTTCTTCTCACACAGCTCACTTATTCAGAACGGCATGCTGACCATGCTCGCAGGTCCGGAAAGGTCACCTTGGGCTACAAATCTACCCTCAAGACTCTGCGATCTGGAAAGGCCAAGGTTCGTTGCTTCGCACCCTCGAATTCGGCGTATATTCTAATTTTTTTCGTCGTAGCTTGTCATCATCGCTGGCAACACCCCACCTCTGCGCAAGTCTGAGCTCGAGTACTACGCCATGTTGTCCAAGACCTCCGTCCACCGTACGTATCTCACCTCTGCCTGCAATTCTGATTAGATGTTAACCTCTACAGACTTTTCCGGAAACAATGTACGTACCACCCTCACGATCCATCCTCATGGCCCAGCGACGAGATCCATAGAACATAATCCTCACCATAGTCTTCGGTGGGTAACTGGGCACTGAGTATGCACTGAAGTTACAGCACGTTGGAACTCGTCAGGTTACACATTGGAGACTATTGGGAAGGATTCTCTGAGGGCTTGGTCCTGAGAAGATGTCTTTAAAGACTTTGGAGGACTATCCACTAACATGTCCCAAGATCGAGCTAGGTACTGCATGCGGTAAGCTCTTCAGGTGCGCGACAATGGCCATCCTCGATGCCGGTAAGTGGTTTTATGCATACACCTGTTTGACATGGGGTTTCGAGACGCTCGATTCCCGCTTCGATCAGGTAATCCTTTTCAGAGCGCCACTGACATTCCTGACAGGTGACTCCGACATCCTCAGCTCCAACCCCGTTTAAATCGGTAAGGATCAGGACGAGGCATGTGAAAAGGGCAAATAGATCAGTAAAGCAAGGCGAAACCCGTCGTGTGAGAATCAATGCAGTGCTCCGACTATGACTCTTCGATGACTGTGACTGCTGTGCCCTGTTTTGTGACTATGGCTTGTGCCTGTGCTTTGCGTGTCGGTGAAATTGCAATCAGATCGCCGCTTTGAAATCAACACCGCTGGAATCCCGAGACGCCCGAGCCAAGGCTATCGCTTATAAGGACTAGCGCACGGCGAACTTCCCACAATTCGCTTGATAATCGCACCTTTCAACACCTTTGTTCTTTGTCCCCTCTCCCCTCAACCACCACATATAAGTCCAGGGTATGCGCCGCACTCCCTTCTGCTAACTCTGAGGATTCCGTATTGACACTATTTCGCAGTAAATACTTCCAGGAACCCAGGAAGTCGTTATCGAACGCCCGACTCATTGATTTGAAATCAGATTCCATCACCGACACAATGGCCAGGAGACCCGCCCGCTGCTACCGGTACTGCAAGAACAAGCCGGTACGTTGAACAATATGCGCACGGAGGAGCTGGTATCTAGTGAGGAGGTTTGGGCCTGGTTCGAGCGTGGAGACAAAAGGATTGTTTTGGCTCTGGAAAGCCGTGCTGTATCCGCGAGATGGCGATACTTGGAAATTCGCTCGGACTTCCCTCACTAGGGATCGGCTTCTCTGCCCAAGAGGTCCAACACATTCTCAATACTGACTTTCGGCCAGTACCCCAAGTCCCGCTTCAACCGCGGTGTGCCTGACCCCAAAATCCGAATCTTCGATCTCGGCCGCAAGCGCGCCAACGTCGACGAGTTCCCGCTATGCATCCACCTTGTCTCCAACGAGTACGAGCAGCTGTCCTCTGAGGCTCTCGAGGCTGCCCGTATTTGTGCCAACAAGTACATGGTCAAGACCGCCGGAAAGGAATCCTTCCATCTCCGTGTCCGCGCCCACCCGTACCACGTAGTCCGCATCAACAAGATGTTGTCGTGCGCTGGTGCCGATAGATTGCAGACGGGTATGCGTGGTGCTTTCGGAAAGCCCAACGGAACCGTTGCGCGTATCAACATTGGCCAGATCATCCTGTCTCTCCGTACCAAGGATTCTCTCCGCCCCAACGCTCTTGAGGCTCTCCGACGATCCCAGTACAAGGTGCGTCTTACCCATTGAGCAAACGCCCGTGAAGATGCATCGCTGACTCTAATACAGTTCCCTGGACGCCAAAAGATCATTGTCTCCAAGAACTGGGGTTTCACCAACCTCCGCCGCGAGGATTACGTCATCAAGCGCCAAGAGGGCAAGATCAAGATCGACGGCGCTTACGTCCAGTTCCTCCGCAACAAGGGCAACCTCGAGGAGAACATCAAGCGCTTCCCGACCGCCTTCGAGCAAGAGGCTTAGGTTTTCTTCGAGAACGAGTTGAGGAACGATTGATGATCTGTGCTTGGGGTAGTGGGATACCGGCTATGGCGTGTATTGCTTTCACTTTCCTTTCCCCAGTCACGGATGAGGGTTTGATGGGTTTCTGCGGATGAAACATCTGTGGGGAGATATTAAAAGATAACCTGACTATGACAATGAAAAACCGCACAAACCATCTGGGTCCAAACACGCTTCCCATTCGTTGCATGATGCCTATTTGCCCGCTTTTCTATGCACATGCACGCATCGATCACCTTGTAGAAACGAAGAGAGTTGAATGTTTGTTCATATGATTTGACTATGGACCTGTGATTAGATATTAAGCTTCCGCCCTCGCCCTCGCCCTCGCCCTCGCCCTCGCCCTCGCCCTCGCCACTGGATATCATCGCGAACAACAAAAAGACTAAGCCGCCAGACTAGCTGCGCGGGTGCAACACCAACACCATCACTAATTAAACGCCAAGTCATGCAATTTTATTCTTCGACCCCCTTGTCTATCAAGCAGTCACCGTCACCGTAGCCGTCGCAGTAACAGTCTCCTTCTCGGTAACCGTCTCCGTGACGGTAAAGATCTCACTCTGCGGAATCGGCGTGATCACCACCGCCGGTCCCGAGCTCGTCGACGACGGCACCGGCGGCTCAGCAGGAGGCGGTGGTGCTGGGGGTGAGGGGTTTGTAGGGAACGAGGTTGTTATGGGGACGGCGGTAGGGACGCGAGAGGGGCTTTCTGATCCGATAGGTGGGGGTCCGAGGGGTGGGTTCGTGTAGGATGCAATGGGCATGGGGACGAACAGTGTGGCGCTAGAGGATAATGGGGGAGGGGTGGCGGTGGTTGTTGTGGAAGGGATTACGACGATGGGTGGGAGGGCGAGAGAGGTCGTTGGCAAGAACGGGCCGCCCGTCATGGACGATATGGCAGGTGGATTTGAAGGTGGTGTTGTGGACGATGGCGCTGGTAGGGTGGCGTATATTGTAGTAGTGATGAACACGGTCCGGGTTTTCTCGGAAGTAGTTGCTGGAATCTTGGATGAAAGGGTTACGGCTGCGCTGCCTTTCGGCCCGGCAATGCTGGAACTGCTTGGGGTAGGAGTATTCGCGGCGGTGGATGAAGTTTTGTGGTGGACGAAGCTGAAGCCTGGGAGCGAGGGCGGTCCGTTGGACGGGTCGACAGCAGTTGAACTAATGGAGGGTGCATTGGTCGACTTGACGACAGTCGAGCTGCTGGAGAGCGGGACAGTTCGAGATGTGTTTGGGACAATCATTGTAGATGTGATGGTGATGTTAATCGTAGAGGTGATAGTTTCCAACCCTGAACTGGCATCTGGTTTAACGGTGCTGAAAATTACAGTATTAGAAGTGGTAGTGGTGGCCAGGAGGGAAGAGGTCTTTATTGCTGCTAGAGATGATGATGGTGGCACATATGTGAATGCTGGCGGTACCTTTGATGTGCTGCCAATTGACGAGGACGACGACGAGGACGACGACGACGATGACGATGACGATGACGACGACGACAACGACGACGACGCTGGAATCGTAGATGATGAACTTGATGGTACTTCAGTCTGTTGAGTAGACTGAGGGGATACCGTGCTCGATGCCTGAGCTTTCAGAGTAGACGACGGTACGATGGTTGGAGCAGGCTCGGTTGGGGCGGTGATGGGCTCTCCGTTTATGAATGAAGTGAACGGAATCAATGTTTCAGGTTGTGTGATAATGGGTTGTCCGTCCGGAAGCTTGAACGTAACAGCAGGTTGAGATCGTGTGAGGATTGTCATTTGTATGGGGGTGACGACAATTTCTGCCGTCTCAGCACCAACAAGAGAGGGCTCGAGAGTGGAATACTTTGATGATGATGATGATGATGAAGATGAAGATGCTGGCGTATTTGTAGTCTGGAGAGTCGCCAATGTAATTGAGAT